AAATATGAAAATGTCTCACATTGGACAGACCCCAGGGAATTCCCGTGTAAATCCGGTGTGACTTATGTAATTGAGATCATTTCTCGATTATTTGCAGGATGTTTGGTTTGAACCGGTAAAAAATTGAGAGCCAAATGAACAACAAAATTGATGACAGCCAAATAATCCGGGACGGAAAGGTTACAATGAATTCCACAATGTTTGTGACAGCACATCAGTCCCTTCGCGATTTTCGCGACATTATTTAATGTTTCCGCGATTTTCACGACTGAAATTCGTGAATCAATAAGAGACAGGGTGCTACAGGGTAGATGCCGTGTGGGTGACGGATTCACTATTTTAAAATAGAGAGTATTCAGTTTCAAGGGCATAGCCAGGTTTCGAGCTAGGGAGGGGCGAAAAAAAAATATTATGGAAAATTTAGCCGAATGCCATTTCATCGAAAGCTTTTGTGTTGCTGAGTTTAGGGGAGGCAGTTGCGACAATTTTCTACATTACTACAGAGGCTACGAGCAGTAGGGTAGAGAACTACTTCGGCCTAATCGCCCATTTTGGGCCTATCGAGCAGAAAACTTCAAATAAATCCATGATTTCGTAGTTAACAAGTCAATTATGCGTTTGGTACGATACTTTAGTTAATGAGCTACCGAACGAAGTCAATGAGAACGCGTGATATGAATGTTTGCACCCATTATTCCCAAAAACAAAAGAAACGCTCCGACCGAAACATGTTTTATCTTCATCCGATAGGCCGAAGTGAATACATTGGCGTTTTAATGGCGTTTCAATGCGTTAGGCCGAGTTTAGAATTCGTATACCGAGTTTGGCGTCAAGAAGCAGTGTTAGAGTTTTGACAATATCTCAACGATTGGTTTCTCTTGATCAAATCTTACGGTACATACGGAAAGGTAAATAAATTTGAAAGCCATCAGTAATAATAACATTCCGTTTAGTGCTAAACTGCACTAAATTAAGAAAGACTAAGTGCGGGTTATGCTTAATAGGCCGGAAATGGGGTAGTTAACCCTATACAAAGCAAGCTTCACAAAGTTTATGGAGTGCTTTGAAACTTTACTATTGTAGAACTAGGAAAATAGCAAGAGTTAATAGGTACATCGGTATTCATTACTTTTATGTCGGTTTGGTGGAAATCTGGACTTTGTCGGTTTTTTGAACGGAATTCCCTAACTTCTACTCCCTCTGGCCAGTAGAAAGCGTCACCGACGATAGAAGCCAAATCATCAGATACGAACTTAGATAAGAGCTTGAACGATACGAATGTACATTCTTCGATGTTTTTGTTGCGGGGCACTAGCTTCACACAATTGATCCTTGAGGTATCTGTGTTCGCAACTTCACGCAGGTAATCGATGATGTCTTTCTCTGTCTGTCCATTTTGAAAAGGTGTAACGTAGAACGATTTAAGGGAGCCAATGGATTCACGTCGTTTTCTCAAACAGTTTTTGCAAACCACTTTCAAGCGACAGTTGTCATCAGCCGACGGATTGTCTGGAGAAGGGCGGTTGTTGAGGCCAGATGTTGAAGCGACTGCAGCAGGACGAGCAGAAGACGCAATGACACGCATCAAAGTAGGTCATTACCATCGATTATTAATGTCGTTTTCGTGTTTGCGGTGTAGCTACAGCGGTGCTACACCGCCGTACATCGAAAAAAATCAGGGTGTAGCTCTCGCTTGCACCTTTGTTTACAAATAAATGCTGATGAGCTGCCAATGACTCGCGCTTATTGCTGCTTACACTACACCGTTGTAGTGTAGCAAAAACGAAAACGACATAAGTTTGTAAGCAAATAATTCCAATAAAAATTTCGCATTCTAAATTATAGTTCAAAACACATTTTGGTCACTTCTTTGGGCAGGGCTGGTAGCGATCACTGCTGGCAGAAATAGTGATTTTAGTGACTAAATAGTGACTTATAGTTGTGAAAATAGTGACTAAACAGTGACCTAAGAGAAGGTGCATCAAATAAATGTTTGATGTTTTAGACTTATTCAACACTTATGAACGATATGAACCTTTAAAGCGAAAGATTCAATAGAAAGCCACGTGTAGTTTATTAGTTTATTGGTCACAGTAGATTAATTTCAGTAAGAAAAAATTAAAAAAAAAATGCTTTCTGAAGACCACTGTCCTTTTGTGAAGATTCCGAAGTTTTTATAAATTTATGGAACTTTTGTGCTCCCGCAATTTTTGTGGAATTAGAACGACATAGTTAATATACTTCTACGATTTTCACTGAAGTTTTCAAGATTTTTCTGAAATTCATAAATTATCGATATTCATTTAAAACTTCTCCAAAAGTCTAGAATTTCCTGGTGCCTAAACGATTACTGAATTTCTTTTAAGTTCTATAGACTGCAGTGAATTTATCAGTATTTTTTAAGAACCCGCAACTTTACTAAAATTAATTAATTTGTCTTGAAGTTTCGAAAATTTTCCTTAAGTATTATAACCATTATTAACACTCGCTTTTCCCTGAGATTATCTATGCTTACCTGAATTTCTCTAAATTTGTTTAATAATTTAATAATTTTCTGAGATATATTCATAATTCCCTGACGCTTCGGACGTTTTAGGATTAGTTATAGAATTATTGGAATACCCTATAATTCCACGGAACTCCTTGTAAGTCACTGCAAATTTGCTTAAGTTAATGGGATTATTCTGAAGCTATCTGATCGTCCTCGAAGTACTCGGAAGTTCACTAAATACCATTAAACTATCTAAACATATCTAAATTTAGCACTCTGGAATTTCTTGAAGATATCGCTGCTTGCTAAAAGTTCTCGCTTTTTTTTTATTAATGGAACATCGTTGATATTCTCTAATTAACTTAGGTAAATTCTCGCATTTTTTAAGATTTTGAAATCTCCAATATACCTTTAAAATACTCTTACGTTTTCCGGATGTTCATAAAATTTTCAGGAATTCTCTGGGAGCTTTGCAGAAGTTTTCGGAAATCCACTGAGTTTCTCAAAACTTCTTTAAAGTTTCTTATATTTCCTTGAAATTATTTGAACTGCCCTTTGATTCTCTGACCTGTCTTGATGTTCTCGAAGCTTCCAAAAAGCTCTTAGTTCTAATGAACATCTCGGTTCTGCTCGGAAATAAATAGAATTCCCGTAAACACTTTTAAATTTACCTGAAATTATCTGGACTGCTGTGAAGTTTCTGAAATATTTTTTGAGTTTTCCTAAATTCTCTGGAGGTCTCTGTATTTCCCCGAAATTCGCGGAACATCTTAAGGGTTCTCGATTTGTTTTTTCAGCACAGCATGTAACTATCTTGCATTTATCTAAATTTACGATTATAGATTTTTTATCTATCTAGCTTCTCTGAGGTGCTTAGAACTTCTTAAAAATTTGCACAATACCCCTAAAGTTTTCCCTTTACTTTTTCCCTAACTTCATAAAAGTTCCAAGTTCCTGAAAAGTCTCGAATGCTGAAAAAATCGCTTTGAGGTTCTTTCAGCTTCCAGTAAGTTTCCCATATTTTCAGCGTGTTAACTTCCCTTCCTGCAGTTTGTTTATAGTGCTTCACTGAAATTCTCAGCATTTCCTTTCATACCTCAGAACTTCTCCAAAGTTCCTACAATTGTTGTAAAGTTAATGGAACTATATTGAAGATCTCTTAAAGTCAATCACGAACTTGAAATAAATCATTTATTTATTTTTTCCTACTTAATTCTGGCACTTTGAATATTTTCAATATCTTGGACGTGTACATGGAATACGAAACTTCAAGATATTGAATACTTTTAGATCTTGGACTTACTTACTTGGAAAACAAAGGTAATTTTACCCAGAAAAATGAGGAGACATCCTGCATATAGAGAAAGACGATTAACCGTCACAACGCAAAGAATAATCAATTTTGAAATAAATTCACGCTAAAAAAGTTGAAAATATTGACTTATTACAAGAAAAAGTGACTTTAGGACTTGGCCTTAAAAAAAGAGACTTTTTAGTGACTGACTTGAAAAAAGTGACCAAATCACTAAAAAGTAACTCGCTACCAGCCCTGTTGGGGGTACCTATTCCGGAACCAGTTCTTAATTTGGCCAATTTGGTCAAGCAATGGATCGTAGCCTTGAAACTGATCGAAAGAAACCTATACAAGGCCTTTAAGAATTTTGTCCGGGTTTTGTTAGGATCCACCCCACTGTGTACTGGCATGTGTTATATGCTCTTCCTGATTAGTGAAAGATTCCATTCCCTTTACTACCGACTATGCCCGTTAGTTTGATTGACCTATTATTTCGCATGGATTGCAGTATACCCGGCTCTGCAGTACGGATTTGCTTACCTAACCATCGCTGAGCTACATTTGACATTCAAACTGATAAGAGTTATAATACTGAAACTAGTGTTTTTCTTCATAGTTCAAACGAATTTAACTTAGCACTGATAACAAAACGGACAGTGGGGATTTTGGAAGCAAAAATAATTAAAATTGTCTACTGTTGAAGTATAAATAAGAAATAAATGTAATCGATTCCGTATGATTTTATTCTGTAAACGCCACGAAAGGTGCGTGATTGGAATATGTTGCCCCAAAATCCCTGATTACTTGTTAACTATCAAATATTTTTCTACAATCAACTCAATTAGTATTTCCGTATATCATATATTCGTTTTATAACAATATGTAAATTTACATATATAACATATTTGGCTGTAACTCCATATTCTTTTTTAAATGTATCCGGATTTCTGAAAATATGCGGTATTAAGGCAACATAAGTTCCAAACATGCACTTACCGTGAAGAATACAGAACGAAACCATTCGGAATCGGTTCATTGAAGTTAATCCTTAGAAAACCACTTAATTCATATTAAGATTTCAGCAGGAGTCAATTTTAATCCTTTTCGCTCCTTAAAGCCCCACTGTGCAGTGCACTAATCAATGTGCCATTTTTTAAAGCCATAGACAAGGAAGGGTATTAATTGCAGCAAATTAGCATGCACTGGATTCAGTTATTGTTAAGTGATGAACGTGATGAGAGGTTCAATCGTTTCAATATTGGCAGCAATTATTTGTTCAGGTTAGTTTTAATTGTAAAAACGTATTCAACGGTTTTTACAGCCAATGCTCAACATTGGTCACACATTTTACCGTAATTAATATTTGTTCGGGATGATCATCATTCTTACCTTTGTTTTTAACCACGCTGCTTATTAGGACATTATTGCCACAATCGTATGGTTTAAAGTCTCACCTTAATATTATTTTCAGCATGGGCTAATTTACCAGATCCAGGAACATGTGGTTTGGATGTTTCCGATAGAATATACGGTGGTAACATTACCGGACTAACCAGTTATCCGTGGACTGCCATTTTGATATATCGCGAGATGGGACAAAACACCGATCTATTTCATTGCGGTGGAAGTCTAATATCGGATCAATACGTTCTCACTGCAGCACATTGCTTAGATGGTCAATCCGACGACTACATGCTGTGAGTTATCCATCGGTTATGTATGACCATGCAATGTACTTAACAAGTAATTTTAATTCATTGTATTTTAGTGATCGCATAAGATTAGGAGAATGGAATCTACTGAGTGACCCTGATTGTGATGAAAATCAATATTGCAACGAACCTTCAGTAGATGTCGGCATTGAAAAGACGATTACTCACGAGGATTACGACAGAGTAACGATACTCAATGATATTGCACTAATTAAACTGAATCAAAGTGTCAATTTTACGGAAACCATTTCTCCTGTTTGTTTGCCTATGAGTAATTTAACGAAAAACAAAAATACAGACGATATGGTTTTTACAGCCATTGGATGGGGTAATACAGAGCATAGAAATGGAACATATGGTAACACAATTTTGAACGCATTACTTCAAACGAAGGTTAATCAAAAATCGTTTCAGAATACGGAAACACACACAAGCTACATGTACATTTGGATGGAGTTGATCTGGTATCTTGCAACAAGGTTTATGATGATGAAATTACTACCACACAAATATGTGCCGGAGCAAAACAAGGCAAAGATTCTTGCCAAGGCGATTCTGGTGGTGGATTAGTCAATGCAGTGGATGGATTCTACTACGAGTATGGCATTGTTAGCTGGGGATACGGTTGCGGTAAAAAAGGCACACCGGGAATATATACCAGGGTTACAAGTTTTTTGTCCTGGATTCAAAATAACATGGATAATACTACCGTCGAACATTCCGATAAAGAATAGGTATGCGGGCTTTCAATAAATTATATTCAAGCTAAACTTCCCATTTCCATTTCCCATCTAACAATTCCTGAAAAACATATAGTGCTCTTTGGGCAGCCTTAATAAAAAAAATACCATAAACGAACGATAACCAAAATAATAGAACTATTCTCCGAACACGTCGTTAAGCAAAATAACCATATGAATTTAACTATAGAGTTACTTACCTTACCAATCAGGCTAAGGCCTTGTTGTCCTCTGCTGTCCGAAGAAGTCGTCTCCAATCTACTCGATCCATGGCCACACTCGCCAGCCTCGTAGACTGCGAAGGGTCCGAGGGGGGCGACACATCTAAATCTCAATTCTACACACTTAGAAATACTTAATCTTACACGTGACGGAATCCGTTTTTGACATAAAGGATGAGACGTAAACAAACATGTCGTGTAAAACTAAGTGCTCCGAGACTGAAAAGTTCGAAAGTACGTTTGATTGAGCTGAATTTCGCGTCTATTATGACTCAATTTTATGTCAAAATTGACGCTCGTATATGTCAGTCTCAGAGCACCTAAATTTCCATCAATTTTTCTAAGTGTGTAGAATTCGTCACGCACCCTGTAGATACTAAAAAAATCTCACACTAGCGAATCAATCTTCGAAAAATAATCTTTTATTTCTTGCATCTACTTGCATCGCGCTTCATCTTTTTGCAAGAAATCTTCAAAATCGACATAAATCTTCCTTCTATCTACTCAGCGTGCGTGCAGCTAGCCACAGCAAATCACAAACTTTTCTGCATCGTAGATAGAGTCGTCCCCCTCGGAAGGGTCCGCAGGTCGCCTTCTACTTGGTCGATCCACCTTGCCCGCTGCGCGCCTCTTTATCTTGTTCCTGTTGGGTCGCTTTCTAGAACCTTTTTCACTAGGTCGTCGTGCGGCATTCTTACGACGTGCCCAGCCCACCATAGTCGCCCAATTTTTGCAATGTGGACGATGGATGGTTCTCCCAGCAGCTGGTGCAATTCGTGGTTCATTCGCCTCCTCCACGTTCCGTCATCCATCTGCACTCCACCGTAGATGGTACGCAACCACCTCCACCTTCCGTTCGAAACACCAAGGGCGCGTTGGTCCTCCACGAGCATAGTCCAGGTCTCGGGGACCACCGGTCTAATCAGCGTTTTGTAGACAGTCAACTTCGTGCGGCGGCGAATTTTATTCGACCGGAGCGTTCTCCGGAGTCCAAAGTAGGCACGATTCCCTGCCATAATGCGTCTTTGAATTTCTCTGCTGGTATCATTTTCGGCGGTCACCAGTGAGCCCAAATACACGAACTCATCGACCACCTCGATTTTGTCACCGTCAATCTGAACTCGGGGTGGGAGGCTAACATTGTCTTCCCTAGAACCTCTTTCTTTCATGTATTTTGTCTTTGATGCGTTGATGGCAAGTCCAATCCGCCTAGTTTCAGTCTTCAGTCTGATGCACGTTTCCGCCATCGTCTCAAAGTTCCGTGCCATGATGTCAATGTCATCGGCGAAGCCAAGAAGCTGGATGGATTTCCTGAAGATCGTGCCACTCGTGTCTATCCCAGCTCTTCTGATCACACCTTCTAACGCGGTGTTGAATAGCAGACACGCCGTAACCCCCTTCGAGATTCAAAGGGGCTCGAGAGTGTCCACGATACTCGAACAACGCACATCACTCGATCCATCGTCGACTTGACCAATCGCGTCAGTTTATCCGGAAATCCGTAATCTGCCATAACTGATCTCGATTGATTGTGTCGTATGCGGATTTGAAATCGATGAACAAATGATGTGTGGGCACGTTGTATTCGCGGCATTTCTGCAGAACCTGCCGAATCGCGAAAATTTGGTCCGTGGCAGCGCGGGCACCCATGAATCCCCACGAACTCTCTTGCAAATGGTGACAGGCGGCGGCATAGAATTTGAAAGAGTACCTTGTAGGCGGCGCTCAGCAGTGTGATCGCGCGGTAGTTGCAGCAATCCAACTTGTCGCCCTTTTTGTAGATTGGGCATACGACACCTTCCATCCACTCCTCAGGTAATATCTCCTCCTCCCAAATCTTGGCAATCACCCAGTGCTTCACCACCGTTTTTAATAGCTCACAATTATTATAGAGTACACTGCCTGTAATCCTATATGCCATACGCTGACACTGAGAAAATGACAGTCGAAATTATGAAGTGCAAATGTAAATGTTTGATGTCGTTTTCGTTTTTGCGATGTAGCTACACCGGTGTTTCACTGCCGTACACCGAAATAATTTAGGGTGTAGATATAGGATGAACCGAAGGGGGTGACTCTATCTGCAATTCAGGAAAGATTTTTTGTTGCTGTGGCTAGCTGTGGGCACGTTGAGTAAGAGAAAGAGAATGATGACAATTCTAAAGATTTCCTGCGAAAAGATGATGCACGATGCAAGTAGTTGCGAGAAATAAAAGAAGAAGATTTTTTGTTGATTGATTTGCTAGCGTGAGATTTTTCGATGATCTAGAATTGAGATTTAGGTGTGAGGCCCCCCTTGGGATGCACCTTTGTTTACAAACAAATGATGTTGAGCTGTCAAAGACTCGCGCCTATTCCTGCTTACACTACACCGGTGCTTTACCGCAAAAACGAAAACGACATGAAAAATTTGTATTTTTCATTGTTAGAATTGGTTGCTGAGATGCAGAAGCGTGCATTAAAGAGTGGAACGAGCAAAAAGTAGTCAATTCAAATTTAGTACATTTCTGTGTGCACTTTGAAAAATAAAATAAAAAGTTGATTTTCACGAGGGGGACGACTCTATCTACGCTGCAGGAAAGATTGTGTTGTGATGTGGCTAGCTGCTCACACGCGGAGTAGATAGAAAGAATATTGATGACGATTCTGAAGATTTCCTGCAAAAAATGATGCGCGATGCAAGTATATGCGAGAAATACAAGAAGATTTTTCGAAGATTGATTCGATAGTGTGAGATTTTTTGAGCATATAAAATTGAGATTTAGATGTGTCGCCCCCCTCGGATTTTCAAAGGTGTGTCTTCGAAATGTCTTGTTATTTTTCTATCTGAAATTTCCCATTCAGTTTTTAAGATAACTACCAAACAAGATAACTAGCATTTTACAATTGTGCACGTGTATTCGTTAAATTCAAATCTGAAGGATGATTTTAAACATCTTCCTGGTCATGAATTTTATACTGCTTCAGGAAGAGAAATAGTGTAGGACAACTTAGGTAAAAAAAATCAGTTGAAATTAAATAAAACAGCAACATCTTCCATTTAATCCCACCTAATAAATGTACTACGCAGTGGCGTTTCCTTATCCTCAATCTACCTGTGCACCAACTCTCAAAACATTAACAATTATCAAAATAATGTTTGAAATGGATCGATATCGAGTAAACTAGAAGAGTGTATTTTTCAACCGATTCGAGTATGAATATGACATTAAATCTGGGTTTGAAAGTTGGTGCACAGGTAAAAAGTGAGGTTACGGGACGCCACTGGTATTTCGACTACAATGTACAGTCTTCATCAGTGTCATTCCCACTAAAGAAGACTTATCATAAAAATGTCAAGATCACAGGTATAAAAATGAAACTACAACATGTAGTTCGTAGCCAGTACCTAAATACCAAAATTAATTAAGTGGAATTAAATGGAAGATGGCTGTTTTAAAGGATACCCTTAATTTTCTACAGCGTTTTTTTCCGTGATACAATTTGATGTGGGACAACTTTTATTTAAGCATTCCGCTAACAACCCAATTTTATTACTTCATTACAGTTGAAATTGTCATGAAAACTATTTGCTGAAGAGTAATTATTTTTGTACCACTGGAATCATCCACCACAATATTAACGTGAGCGAGAGTTTGAGCAAATGTGTATTTTGCGTATAGAAAAAAAAGATCAACAAGAACAACACGTATCACTTAAAAAATTGATCTAGAAACTGGTGAGAGAGCATAAAATGTCATTTCAGGATTTACCGTTAGTTTATTTGTTTATTTGTTTATTTGTTATTGTTGCATCGACAGACTAGAAATAGACCCAATGATGTGTTGTAAAAAAAGTACAGATTATACAGACGACATACATATACTACAGTTACTACAGTTACAAACGAAAATAACTAGGAAAGCATTGGCAAGTTACTAAAAATTTATAAGTCTTAAATTTTACACTTAAATGTTGGGCATCAAGCGCCTTCGGTCAGCAAAAAAGGCAGAGAATCTTCGGCGAAGCATATTCCGTGTCAAGTGGAAATCGAACATCGACGCTACTCGGTTGAACACTAGCTGCAAGCCGTAAATAGAAGGTTATTGTTAAAAAAAACATCGGTGAATCTATTGGTTTTAATGCAAACGTTTGATAATTATTTTAGAAATTGATCTATATGTAAAATTATTCGAACCAAAACCGTCTGTGCCTTAAAATCGCAAGGATAAAAATTGTCTTACATCCTAAACTATGACATGAACTTGGAATCCCATTTCAAAGGGGCGTAATTGGTTTTGTAAACAATGGCTTTAACCGTCAATTTCTCACAAATAAAATTTCGATTAACAATTCTATCTGGTAGCCTGTGCCTCTACGTGCTTGTGGTTGTTGGTTTGGTGTGAGGACAGATGTGTGCAATCATCACATACTCTTTCGGTACTATAGATATGCTCAGACACAATTTTAACTGCCCCCCCCCCCCTAATAAAAAATACCATAAACGAACGATAACCCAAATCATTGAACTATTCCACAAATGGTTTGGATGATACCCAGAACACGTCGTTAAGCAAATTAACCATACAATTTTTATTAGGGCCAGCGTGAGCTGAAGACTCCAGGTACAGTTCAATATTAAATTGCAATTTTTTTTTTATGGATCGAAACAAAAATCGAATGAAAAGGATCGATCCAGTCAATTTTTATCGTATTTGAGATCGGCTCAAAAAATCGATTAATCGAACCAAAAGAATCGATATTTTGTGTTCGATCCAAGATCGCCCATAGCTAAGCAGCTCCCACACCTGGACCCTACCTATCGACCCATCAACTCATGAACCGGGGACCAACGGCTTTACTTCTCTTCCGAAGAAAGGCGTGATCAGAGATGTTATGCCTCAGAACATCCCGGCGGCGCCGACTTGAACCCTGGCCTGGGATGAGATGTAATCACGCTTACTGCTACGCCCCGCTAAATTTCTATATTAAAATTTGTTTGATGATAAATATAATAAACACTATCAATTTGATAGTGATTCAAATAGCTTCCATATGCATACCATAATAGATAAGTACCATAAAAAGTGCTCAACAAAGTATTCCGGGACCAGATTATTCAAGAAATAATTTTATCATTCCGGTTACAGTTCGTGTATCGTTTCCGTTGATTAAGGATATGAAAAGCAATGGTCAACCGTTCATAATGACATAGACTATGTTCAGTCATATTTACACTAAACTAGGTAGCGGCCTCAGCGGTACTTTCCGTGCTAGTGAACTTCGGGACTGAATCTGATGAAGCTATCTGTCAACATTGCTGTACCTCCTGTCATTTTGGAAGAAAAGTGATAGCTATTTTCCTGATTTGGGTGTCGAAAGGCCGCGGTGCATTTTACTGTGGAAATTAGGTTTTAAAATAAACTTCGGCTGCCTGAGAACCGGAATCTACGCACGGAAGGATACATTTTATCGGTCGCCCTTGTGAAGCACTACCGCTAGCGACGAGCTAACGATGCTCGAGCAACTGCAGGAACAGGGCTGGTAAGACACAAAGTATTGATTTTCCTGCTTAGTGGAATCAGTACATGTAGCCTTGAATGCATGTGTCCAATTTCCTTTAGTGGCATATTTCTTAGTGTTTTTTTTTTTTTGTTTAGAGTTGATGTAGACTTAATTTTTCTATATTCTTTGATAGGTACCTTCTACCGGCGGGACTTGAGCGATTGCTAGAAGGAACAAATGGTTCGAATATCGACGTGAAACAGGCTATCAAATTGGCACTTGATGTAAGTTTTTGTCTTTTGTTTTTATTGAAACAGTACTTCAGACAACACAATATTTCACCCCGATTGCTACTACGCAAATTAAAAGAATACAGTCACATTAACATTTTTAATCCTAGTGAAAGTCAATATACTAGGCAAAATAAATGTTATTGACCCTTGCTCTCGTGACATGTTACAATAATGATTATAAACAACAATAACATTAATTATACCTTCCTATGATTTGACCAGAGCAGTAGAAGGAACACAACTACTGTCCCTATTCGCATGTTAATAAGAATTCCACAGGACATGGGGCTGTGATACGAATAGCCACAGCCAACGTACAAAACGTACAGAAATGCAAATACAATAACTAGTAATGTGGTTCAAACTATCCATAGTGCTCCAAACAGCGCAGGGATGATCCAATCAATGTGCATTTTTAAAACATAAATTTTCAATATTCCAGTTGCCGGATTTTGAAAAATTACCTCGATCTCAAATTTTACGTAGAAATCAAAATTCTGATTCGTATAAAATTGTCAAGACTCTTGAATTTAGACGTAGCTTTGAAAATAATTTCATGAGAATTCCGATGAGCTTTCGAAAGGAATTTTGAGAAGAAATTAAAAGGTTTTCTTTTTAAAGGTTATTCTGAAGGAAATTCTGAAAATAATTCTTAGGGAATCCAAAAGGAAATTCTAACTAGAATTCAAAAGGCATGTGCTCTAGATGAATTTTAATTCGACTTTAAAATTTCATCAAGATTATGAGTTGGAATATGGTTTTAATTAGTTAGGTAGGTTCCGATTCAACACATTGTAGTTTCATTTATATACCTGTGATCTTGACTTTTATACCTAGGGGATGAGTACTTAAGGGGGTTAGATTTTGATAAGTTCTTTAGTGGGAATGACACTGATGAAGACTGCACATTGTAGTCGAAATACGTATCTGTCATGGATACCAAAATTAATTAAGTGGAATTAAATGGAAGATAACCTTTTTTTGCTGTTTTATTAAAGCATTCCGCTAACAACCCAATTTCATTACTTCATTATGATGGCTACCAAGCCTTTGGGATTTTCCTTATTAGAGAGTTGAATAGATTTTTCTCCTTTAGCTTACTTAAATCTTTGGTTTTAATTAGTTAGGTAGGTTCCGATTCAACACATTGTAGTTTCATTTATATACCTGTGATCTTGACTTTTATACCTAGGGGATGAGTACTTAAGGGGGTTAGATTTTGATAAGTTCTTTAGTGGGAATGACACTGATGAAGACTGCACATTGTAGTCGAAATACGTATCTGTCATGGATACCAAAATTAATTAAGTGGAATTAAATGGAAGATAACCTTTTTTTGCTGTTTTATTAAAGCATTCCGCTAACAACCCAATTTCATTACTTCATTATGATGGCTACCAAGCCTTTGGGATTTTCCTTATTAGAGAGTTGAATAGATTTTTCTCCTTTAGCTTACTTAAATCTTTGGTTTTAATTAGTTAGGTAGGTTCCGATTCAACACATTGTAGTTTCATTTATATACCTGTGATCTTGACTTTTATACCTAGGGGATGAGTACTTAAGGGGGTTAGATTTTGATAAGTTCTTTAGTGGGAATGACACTGATGAAGACTGCACATTGTAGTCGAAATACGTATCTGTCATGGATACCAAAATTAATTAAGTGGAATTAAATGGAAGATAACCTTTTTTTGCTGTTTTATTAAAGCATTCCGCTAACAACCCAATTTCATTACTTCAATACAAGGAGGGTTTCTGACGAGAATTCTGTGGCGATTTTAAGGAGAAGACTAGAAGAATTTTGGGATAATTCCAAGTAAAGTATAAAAAAATTCTTACGGAACTGTGGGGAGCATTAAAAGATCATTCCAATGATAATTCCAAAGAAACTGCGACAAGAACTGCAAAGGAATTCTGACATGAATTCCAACCAAATCCTGAGGAGTAATCCAAGCGCATTCTAACAAGTGCATTCAGACAATGCAAAATCATTCTGACAAGAATTCCAAGTAAATTCTGATGAGAATTCAAAACGACCTTTATGCTAAGAATAGTTCTAATGTTCCGGGGCCTCTCTTACCTCAGCCGGTAAAGCCGTAGCTACAAAGCAACACCATGCTGGATGTAGCTGGAATCAATTCACAATCCGGTCTAGGAATTTTTCGGATTGGAAATTTTTCGATTTTCCTGTGCATAGGGTATGATTGTACTTGCCACACAATTATACTAATGCCAAAATTGTACAGGCATCAAAAGCTCTCTATTAATAACTGTTGAAGTTCATCTAGAACACTAAGTTGAGAGCACGCAATAAGCTAATATGCGATAAGCAATAAGGGGCTGTTCATAAACTACGTAGACCGATGTTTAGAGATTTTAGACCCATATTTTTTTTTTACATTTTCAAGATCGGACTGAAATTTTAGATAACGAGAAATTTTCAAGATACTAAGAAATTTAAGATTTGAAAATATGTTGAGTTATACTTTTTTTAAGATCCGGGATTAGAATTTCTTGAAAAATAACATGAACTTTAAAAATATCTTGAATCTGCTATTGGTTGCCATCTTGGTTCTAAACCAAATATTAGTTGCAGAAAAGCTGCACGGAGCACTAATATAGGTTTGTCGAAGCACGATCATACAATAACTAAATATATTTTCTTGGACAAATTTCAAAATCCCGAGCAATGTTTCCAAGTATCTCAATCTCACTTTCCGACAGCTCCTTAAAAACACGCAAAATCAAACTATTAGTAGCACTGTAGTTGAAATTTCAGCTCAATTAATCGTAACAGAACAAACTTATAGGTAATTGGTAAGCAAATCGGCCTGCAATGCTATCGAGCAACGCTGTACATATTCATTAAACTGTGAAATAAGATCACACTTTTGAAGCCTTCTGGTAGGCTATGAGTCCGAGAAAGTAAAAAAAAAAAACTAAACCTGGGAGCGAAATTGGATGTTCTAGAAAATATAGCATGACTTCTTATAATCCGAAATAAACTGAAGCCTTCTTCTACATTATCTTACAGACCGACTTGAGGGAAATCGGAGGTGGTGCTTTTGGATCTCTTTCATCCCGTGGTAACAAAGCTGACACGATCGAAGGCAAAATTGTGGTGCAAATTTTGAAGATTCGTAACATTTCCGCTCCGAAAGCTAACGAAGAATCAAAGGCGGCACCACGTTTACTGAAGCTGACTCTTACCGATGGCCAAACGCAGTATTCAGCTCTGGAAGGAGAACATGTATCTTCAATCAGCTTGGATACCCCACCAGGAACGAAATTATACCTGAAGAATGGACCGATCAAAATATCTCAGGGATTGTTGATTCTGAACGCCAATTGCGTCTCCGTACTAGGCGGAAAAGTACCGGCTTTGGTAGAAAAATGGCAACTTGGTCGAACTATGGCAAAGTATGCCAAAGGTGGGAGACTCCAGTTCAGTGCTTCAGGGCCGCCTCCATGGATTGCATTTGGGCAGAAAATTCAGCAGAATTTGCCACATGATAAGAACTTTAAGAGCTTACAAACCAAGGAAAAGGACGAATCCAAGGAGAATGCTGAATTTAATGCTCTCCGAAATGACGCCATTGCCGAAGCAACCAAGTTGGGCACAAGAAAAACTTTTGGAGGAGGAGCAAAGCAGATGGTTGACGCCAATGTGCAGAAGATCATGGACAAAGGTTTCACTGAAGATCAAGCAGTTCACGCTTTGAAACTGACTCGAAACAATGTACATCGGGCTTTGAGCAATCTTCAAAGGATAGAAGAGAGAAAACAGACACAAAATGAAATAAACACTGGTTCATTTGAACCACCACAAAAACCTGGAAAACGTGAGCTAAGAGGAAAGCGTGAGTCTGAATTAGAACTAACATCCAAGCCTTCCGCTAAAGTATCGCTGTTTGATTACTTGGAGGATATTCTTCCAGAAAGCGACACTTCAAACAAAAAGAGTACTAGCAAGGAGTCTACACCAATCACTGGAAAAGAGAATAGAGCTGTGACAGAGAACTACTCAAATAAACAATCTTCCTACAATTCTTACGGGAGTATTCGACAAACAAATCCCGCATCTGGTCAGCAACTATCGAGTCAGTCGAATTCATCGTCACAATACAACAGTTCGAATAAAGGCTATAATCAGCGATTCGAAAACAACATCTCAAGTAGTTTTGCGAACAGAAATTCCAGCATAGGCTCCGGTAACCGTAATTACAATCAACAGCCACCACAGCAACAATCATATCAGCAGAACTCTAGTGCATCTGCTGGTTACAAATCGCACGACTACAATAACAGCCGGTATCGAGGGCCACCAAATGACACCAACGGTAATCATGCCAATGAGGCACCTCCGCGAGGTAGACAGGACTCGAAATTCAACCAATCTCATTCCTCCTACAATCCTCACTCGCATCAAACGCAACAGCCGCAGTATCGAAGTGATAATTACAACAACAACAATCTCAGTACTGGCGGGCGTGGCCAGAAATACGACCCAAACACGAACAGTAGTGGGAAAGCTCAATCAACCAATGCCAATTATAACTACGGTCATTCTGAGAACAGAGTATCTCAAGGGTACGCTGGCCAAGGCGATTCCAGGAAATATCCAAATGGACCATCTAACCACTACCACCACCAACAACAACAACAGCAGTCTCAGCCACAGTCATCGTACCATTCTGGTGGCAAACAGGTACAGGGATACAACGTTAGCAATAGTAATGCTAGTATCCAGCCTATCTCCCAAGTGAGCAATCACTACGGGCAACCAAGTCAACATGCAGCTGGTAGCAACAGCACGGACAATGGTCCCAACGTAAAGGTAAGCAAATATAAAATAGGTAGATACAGTGACGTATAGGCCGATTGATAATAATTCAGTGGCATCTTCCTAAACACAATCTATGCAAAACTCAATGTGTTTCGGTATAATGCATTGTATAATATTCCCCGAAGACCGTTCCACACAATATACCATTTCCCAGAAAACGATTCCCCAGAATGAACACTTCCTTAGAAAAGAATAAAGGCTTTCAGTTCGGAATTCAAGAACTGTCCATTGCTTAAAGATGGGACATTTTTCGACAAACATTGCACAATGTTAATCTCAGAATCACCACGAGGCACCCAGCATCCGGTTCGCTAAGAATCTTAGCAATTATACCATTCTAGCCCAATTTTCTTACGCTCTATACGCCAGCATTCATCAGGATGCATTTTAGGCTAGAATGATTAAAATGCAGTTTGCAACATGTTCATCTAACCGAAAAAAACAGCCATTTAAAAAAAGCAAGTTCAGAAAGATTGGGCAGGTCGGGAGTACCCCATTTGACATAATGTATTTTGACATACAGGCCATTTGGTAAATACGTGCAAACATGCTTCGCATGGCCTTTATCGAACGTTACTGCTTTTTATAATTATCTCTTTTTTTATTGCGTTTATTTATAAAGCTGGGTTTAGACAGGGCAAGTCAATTGATTAAGTCAGTTGAATTCAATTGGCTTGAAAAGTTGAGCCTGGTTCAACTTTTTTTCAATTCAAGTGAGTTGATTTATTGGTTTACACGTTGAATTCGCGCCCTGTCTAAACCCAGCGTTAGGGTCCCTCGCCTATTAGGCATTGCTTGGACCGATGACCAATTATTTACAATTAGATCCCTTCACGCTTTTATTTTTCAAATAAAACGTATTATCCCCTATTTGATAAGTTGCATTATTTTCATCTAAACGATCTGTTTGCTGACCAGTCTTCTGGGTGCACTGATCAGCACGAACTTTCTTTTTGACGTAGGACTACGTCTGTGATTTTTATATGGGGGTACACTTTGTGAAAACCGAAAATGGAACATGTAACGAAATTATGAAAGATTTTGAACGTTTATAACTCAGCTGCCCCTGGACCAATTTCAATAACTTTATCACCAAACGATCAGAAATATTACTACGCAATGCTTCCGACTGTTGATTTTCAACAAGAAACTATTGAAAAATGGTAAATGTCAAGCATTGTCTAAAAGGGTCGATAGTTACCAAAATCCCCAATTACGTACATGCATATGCTGCTTCCCCAACACAGTCATAAGAGAATCCAGCGTGTGACAGCGGGCCCAAAACAGCAAAATAAACGATTTGAGCCCGGGACATGCTGCCTACTGTCAAACGCTGCTGATGGTATAGGCCTTGTCACTGGCGTGAGAAAATCGTTTCTAGACGAAACATGTCGATGTGCTTTCCAGAGTTGTAATATTGTAACCAAACTTGGAAACAAGGATGCACATTCATTGAACGTTTGTTGTTCTGGATGACAGAAGAGCATAGCAGAAATAGTGCGAAATAGGTTAGTGAAGCCATGGTCATCAAAAGAGGAAATCGATGAAGAGAATTGACTTTCACCCCTCTGCTTCTAAGCTCTTTAATCACAGAGAACAGACATCGAAGCTTAAACTAATTTTTCGAAAAATGATGTGTAAGACTTCAAATTAAAATACGTTATTTATTTATTTGTTTATTATTCTCTTCATCGGACTTTTGTTGTCTAAATGAAGATTGATGGGGAAAAGCCTATTTGGCAAATATTTGCGCAAATAGGCGTAAAAACCCCATATCTTTTCAAAATACAAGGAACAATATAAAAAGGACAGAAAAACACATCAATTATAAAAAATAAACACCGAATAATAATAATAATACTATGGTCTTCATCATAAAAAAAATAAAATAACCTCGTCCTATGGCATGGAGTTATCCGTCATGCAACAATTTGCTGATTGAAAGCAGTTGCATTTGTCGAACCGTATCGTCACCTATCCAGCAGACTACGTTGAATCCGGTGACGAAATGTTTCCACTGTGCAGTTGAAATCGAAAAAAAAAACATAGAATTCATTGAAACTGGCAGACATGAACCGTATTGGATCATGTAATCCGTAATTAGCTGCACGGGGTCCGAGATGCAGGAAACTTCTCGATCGTAGAACTCGTGCAGGTGCATAGATTTCGAATTCAGCCAAAATCCCGGGAGAGTCGATTTCGCTTATCAGCACTTTTGCTGCAAAAACTGCCTGGTTAATCTTCCGCCTACGTTCAAGAGTTTCAATACCCAGTAGTTGGCAACGATCTTCGTAGGGTGGAAGGTTCGTAGGATCGTACCAAGGAAGGTGGCGAAGAGCGTAACGAACGAATTTCCTCTGAACAGACTCGATCCTCGCTATCCAAACTGTTTCATACGGACACCATACCATAGTATACTACACCAAATTCCAAGATCGATCGCACTAGAGAACAATATAGAGCTGTCATGCAGGTAGCATCTCGAAACTCATCAGAGCTTAAAGATGAATCCGAGTTGCCTGTTAGCTTTGGCTATGATATCCGTGTAATGTAGCTTAAATGTCAAAGTAGAATCAAGTGTAATTCCTAGATCACGAACGTTGTCCACACGCTGCAGAGGTTGGTTATCGATCGTATAATTGAATGGAATAGGTTTTAGCTTGCGAAGGAAAGTGATGATGTTGCATTTTTGAACACTCAACGTGAGAAAATTCCTAGAGCACCACTCTTCGAAACTATCGATCAGGTGCTGCAACCGCAACCGTCAGTAAAGCATCGCACAACCACGTACATCTTGACATCGTCTGCATAGAATGACCGGCAGCCAGTTGGAAGTATCAAACCGATTTCGTTAATGAATATGGAGAATAGCAGCGGTCCCAAATTGCTGCCTTGAGGAACGCCTGAGTTGTTTGAAAAATATTCCGATTGATCAGACCCGATTTTCACACAAAGCTATCGATTGGTAAGATACGATTCAAACCAACGAGTGAGTCCATGAGAAACACTAAGCGTCTCGAGTTTGGCAATTAGAATGGCATGATCAACCCGGTCGAAAGCAGCCTTGAGATCCGTGTATACGACGTCCACCTGTGCCCCTGCCTCCATATTCCGTAGGCATAGGGAAAGGAAAGGAGCGAGGTTTGTTGAGACCGAACGTTTGGGGTGGAAACCATGTTGGTCAGGAGAAATGTAGTTTCTACAGCTGGCAAATAAAGCGTCGTTGATGATTATCTCGAAAGTGAGCAGGCACAAAGTGAAGTAATTCCTCGGTAATTCCCCACATTTTGTTTGTCTCCTTTCTTGAAAATCGGAAACATGAACGAAGATTTCCAACGAGATGGAAATACACCTTGTTGTAACGAAATATTGAACAGCTTTGAAAGCGGAGAGGAAAGCTCTGTTGAGCATCTTTTGAGTATGGACGATGGAATGCCGTCAGGCCCAACAGCGTTCGAGAATTTCAGCTTCTGGATGGCAGAGTCGACGAGGTCCAATGTGACCATGAAAATATCAAAGCTGAACGCGTCCTCTGATCCCTTCAGCAACTTGGCTTAACGATGCCGTTGAATCGTTGAAAACACTCTTGAAATGCTCAGCCAGGAAGTTGCATTTCTCTAAAGAAGTGTGGCTCTTTTATCGCTTAGATGAATCTCAACCGGTAGCCCATCCTCTTTCCTTTTTGTCTTCACAAACGTCCAGAATAGCTTAGGATTACGCCGGAGATTGGACTGCATACGTCTTGAGTACTTCTTGTATAGAAAACGGTTGTACATTCGGTAGCAATTACTTGCTAACGAAAATAATCGCTTGGTGAATGGATTACGGGACTGGCTGTATTTTCGAAGAGCCTTCGATCTCACACGCTTCAAGTGTTGTAGTCGAGCATTGGACCATGCAGGTTTTGGGGCAGGTCTCCTCAGAGGCACACAATCCATTATTAATCGGCTAACAACTTCGTCGAAATAGTTAACGGCTTCATCAATGGACGAACACAAGTCAAGCGACTGCCAATCAACCTGGGCCAGTGAGTGATTCAATGCGACGTAGTCAGTTCTGCAAAAGTCCAGGCTTTGTACATCAACGATGTTTTCATAGAGAACAGGAACTGATCGATTGATGAATGCTTCCAACGCTGGATGATCGGCGTCTAGATGTATCAAAGGCTCGGATGCCTCAGCGACACTGCACTCTAGTGCAGCGGCTTCGTTCACGATGGAAAATGAACAGGTGGGCAGGAACTCACAGTCTCCCAGTGTTGGTGAGTTCTTTGCCGTTAATGTTCACGAAAAGTTCACTATTTTGCTATACAGAAATTCAAAACAAAAATTTTATCTGCGGATTTGAACAGTTTTTGACCTGTTTCATACTACCGGAAGGTGTATGCTGGTCACAAATGCCGTGCCAAACTGATTTCCTACTCAATTAATCAATCTTTGATGTGAAATTCGCTAAAAAACACGAGGCGCATTTCGTATAGCAAACATGCCATAACAAAATGGGCATGGTTCATTTAAGTAAACAAACTAACACTTCTTCCGACTGTTACACCTATGTATTAGCCGTCTCGGGCTTCGTTCACCAACACAAGATCAAGCAGCCGAGAGTTTCTGTTTGGTACAGAATTAATTTGCATTAAACCATGCAGGCCAAAACCATCCAAAAGAGCACAGCAGGAAGCAGGCATGTACGACCGAAGAATGTCTATGGTTGGATGATCATTCGCGTAAATATTCCAAACAAGCCCAGACTGGTTATAGTCGCCAAATAGCAGAGCTAGATCGTTGTGATGTAATCGGGACAATACAGCACCAATGGAACTGATATGGTTCTCAACGCAGCTCAAATTAGATTTACGGTCAGGAGGAAGGTACATAACGCCGATGCTTATCATGTTGTGTGACGTCGTTAGAAACACTAACGCCGGCGTACGGAATGTTACGACTCGAGTTATCACTTTGTGCGATTAATGAGTAAACTAAAATAAAATTTGGGTTAACCTTATTGACCGTGTATTCAAATGAACTGTCAAATAAGTTCAAAACAAACACAAAACAAAACAACGGAAATCAATCGAGTTGTGTAGTCAATGTGGTAAGATTTGAACACTGCTTGCCCTGCATCCGTTCTTCCAGGAATTCGTTTCAAACATCTATTCATAATAGCAGTAATTTTTTTACACATTTTAGGCATTTGACTTGGATGCCTGTTCTCTGTGCCTTAATTCAGTCGTCGTCATAGCAATGAAAACTAGCATCGCACCGCTTTTAGCTCTTGGGTTGTGCGCCTTTTCATAGCGCAAGGCAACTTCATTGTCTATCATCTCAATAAAAACACAATCGGACGTTATGAAACTGAATGCATCTAACGTCCGAATATTGAAGGTTAATATTGTTCTCGAATATTTTTTGCACTTTTCCCGCATTGGAACGAACTGGAAGGACACTAAAGTCAACAACAAGTGTGTTTTTAAGAACTACAATCATTTTCGCTGCAATATTTAACCAAGTTAAGCAGAGCAGAAAGAGCACACGTTCGATGAATACGAGTAATGGAGGGCAATTTTGGTTTTATAATCATCTGTTCTTCAAAAAAATAATGAAAGAACAGCTCATGTTCATAAGAAGGGATAGTTACCCATTAAATTATTGTTCTTCCTTCTTTTAATCAGGAACTGTTGTTTCGTATTCCGTGGAAGTACACCCGTAAAAAAAAGTCCAATAAAAATACAATGATTTTCATTGTCATTGTAACCATGATATTTATTGTCAAAACATTGGACATTTTTGTCCATTACCATAAAATCACAACGAAATTCATGGTTCACAACAATGAAAATGAGTGTTCACTCGGCTGTCGACAGAAGCAGACCACCCTCAATGTGTGTCACGCGATCGTCTGTTTACTCGGCAGCAACCATTGTGTGGTCCTCCTCATTGTTCTTCATCAGCAGTTCTTTCAGTCGATGCGTCGTCGACTTTGCAAAGCAACCGTTTCGTGATGAATATGTGAGTGCTGACCACGTTTTGCGTCCATTGCTACAATGGAAGTGCTCTGACCCTCGTTGGCGAATTTGCCATACAAGTAAACCACTGGAAGCGGCTCCCGTTCTGGTAAAGGAGGCTTATTGGACAGCGGAAGATATAATGTTTATTGTGTTGTACCTTTTGACTATAGTTTTAAGATGTATTGTATAGTGAACAAGAATCCTCGGCTCTGTAAAGTTAATTCGGTTGAGCCTTATCAAATACATTAATAATAATAAAAATAAACAATGAAAATCATGGTATTTGAGAAATTTACAGTAAAAAAGGGGGGTTGTTAAGCATATTAACAATAAAAAACAGTGATTTTTCTCGAACAAATTTGATCTCATCACACTAATTTTCATTGTTTGAACATTGTATCGTTAAAAATCGAAATTTATGTTTTCTCCCGCACAATAATTTAACAATAAATTTTAATGTACTCGAAATTCAGCAGTAAAAATCATTGTAATTTCGTTGTTTTATTATAATTATTTTTTTTTCGGGCAGCCCAGTGCTGAGATTTGTCATTGTCATTGAACAAAATGTTTTTCACATAGATCCACAAAACAACCTTCGTCCAAATCTCATTCAATTTTTCGTCAATGACAAAGATTAACCTGGTAACAAAAAGTGTAATTTCGTGCATTCTGTGCCACTATATTCCCTAATAAACGGATACCATACATTAACGACATCATATATGGTACGACCATATAACATGAAGTTGGGATGATATCTCGAATAGGTGGTTAGGCGCTTCTTATGGTTATTGTGTATGCGGGTTGTTATCCAAGAAGTTCAGGACGTAGATGATTGATTACTTTAACGGCTTCATGTAATTATTTTGCTCACGTCATTAAATTTCGTTACAAATTTAGCACATAGTACATGGATGTCTGTGCTTAAAGCTTAATTTTGTTTTTTCGAAAAATTATGTGTAAGAATTCAAATTAAAATACGTTAGAAACACTAGCACCATAGAGGTAACTCTAAGACCACTGGGTCCCGAAGAAAATCATTATTATTTTTGGCTCACTCAGTACCAGAACCACGGTCCCAAGCAGTCCCAAGCAATTTCACTCACCCCTGCATGTTCTGCATGAATCCACACACCCCTGATGTTATCTGTCAAACTTTCATAGCGAATCAAAACAAACATAGTGTAGTAATAGAATTTCAACTAGAATAGGGTATGTTAATCGTTTGCTTGGGACCAATAGGCTACTAAAGTGGTGAGCCAATTTAAAATCGTTAGTTTCGTATTGATTGTTGCTAGCACCGCCATACGGAATGTTGCGACTTGAGTTATCACTTTTTAGGATTAATGAATAAACTGAACTAAAATGTTGGTTGATCTTATTGACCGTGTATCCAAATGAACTGTCAAATCTGTTCAAAACAAACAAGAAAAAACAACGGAAATCAATCCTGTTTCTGCAGATCCATTATTTTCGAATAAACTTAGCCCTTTTACAGTTTCCTGTAGATCTTCAACCGTTTTTCGTTCCAATTTTAACTGGGCATAGTAGTCAGGAGCAAAACTGACTTTTCTTGATTCACTGGCGGCGTATCTTCAAATGATTCAGTGAGGGTGTGAACTCCAATTAGCCCTCATTTAAATTCAGAAAAATGTGATAAGATTTGAACTCTGCATCCGTTCTTCCAGGAATTCAAAAAGCCTCCGGTGGGAAGTGGTCGGAACCGAGGGGGGCGACACATCTAAATCTCAATTCTAGATGCTCAACAAATCTCACACTAGCTAATAAATCTTCGAAAAATCTTCTTTCATTTCTCGCATCTACTTGCATCGCGCATCATATTTGTGCAGGAAATCTTCAGAATTGTCATCAATCTTCTTTATATCTACTCAGCGTGCGTGCAGCTAGCCACAGCAAAACACATTTTTTCCTGCATCGTAGATATAGTCGTCCCCCTCGGTCGGAACATACATTTTTCGTTGCAAGCGCTTGGACTACACGTGAGAAAAAAATTTCCTGTAGTTCGGGCAATTCAGCATCCTTAGGAAAATTGTGATTTTCGCTTGGTAACACCTTGTTAATTTGCGCACCAATAAAACTCGCACTTGTGGCCCATGTTTTGATCGGTTTTAAACAAACAATGTTAAGATGACGTCTGCCGGTCATCGACGTCGATGGGCAGCAACACTAACGCCACCACGATAGTTTCAAATGTCTATTCAAAATAGCAGTTAAATTTCTTACACACTTTAGAATTTGACTTGGATGTCTGTTCTCTGCGCATTTAGCTAATAAAAAAAATCTGCAAATGTAAGCTGTTTGTATTCATTGCTTTGACGTCTATGACGTAAATTGGTCCCAATTACCAAAATAGTGGTGCGCCCTATAATGCACGGAATTAATCCTAAAAAATTCCATGCAACATAATTTTATAATGACGTAAATCAGCATCAATTTAAAAACAGCATATACCGGGAACATATCCCGTTACCCTATAGTCTCGCATCAAGTTACCCTATAACCTTCCCTCCCGTTATCCGTTATCCTATATATATGTGCTACTGGATTCCGATTGTGAAGTCAGCTGATTATAATTAACCATCGGCACATTTATTTCACTGTTAATTATCGAACAAAAAAACTTTTGTTTACATCCATATGAGCGGTGAATGGCGACCCAACAACGATCAAGGGTTCCCTTCACCGCTCACTCCAGAACTAGGTATTAGGTACTATCAATATTTCATAACAAAGGCGAGTGTTTATTAAATATCTAATACCTCAATAACTTACAAACCATATAATGCGTTAAATGGCCAGAAAATGCCAGGCTAATTCAAAAACTAAATATTTGCACTACGACATGAGCGGTGAACGGGACCCCTGGCTACATGCACTAATATGTCTCGAAATCAATTTTAACAGCATTGTTCTGGATGTTTTACATTTTATACACAATCTTATGGTAATGACCTTCAAGATTCCAACAGCCGAGTAGTTCTGCAATTTATTTTGCTGAGAAACTGAGAAACAATTGCCGAGACTCAGCTAACAAATATCATATTGCTGAAATATCAGCTAAAAAACAGATATTTTGCAGATATACCAGCAAAAGTAAATGCCGAGGTAATCGGCTGTTGGAGATTTTACCGAGCTAGATTAAATGTAAAAATATGCTCAATACATTTATGAAAAGTTGTTTAACTGACTTGATTTTGCTCTATAGTGAGCGGTGAACGGGCACCACACGGTATATATTGTTTTTTTCCTTGGTTTGTTTTCCGTCGATGTTGTTTTACGTGCTGAGTACCAATGCTACCGACGCCAGGTAGGCAGCTCCCACACCTGGACCCGATCTATCGACCCATCAAACTCATGAACCGGGGACCAACGGCTTTACTTCCCTTCCGAAGGAAGGCGTGATCAGATTTTTTTTTTAAATCTTTATTTAAGAGATTTTTAGCCATAGGCTAGTTCATCTCTTAAGGTGTGATTAGAGATGTTATGCCTCAGAACATACCGGCGGCGCCGACTGGGATTTAACCCAGGCCTGCTGGGGTGAGAGATAATCACGCTTACCACTAAACCACCGGCGCCACTATCACACGGTATATATTCAAAATGTCTAAGGAATGGTACAGTCGGGGAATTTTTTGCTGGGAAATAGTTCATTCTGGAGATTTTGTTTCTTTTCTGACAACAGCATTCTGTAGGATGGCTTTCCGGGAAATGTCATACAATCTATATTTTACCGTTTCCTTACAGCCACAAAAAGGAAGTAGATACGGTAATAAGGAGGAACCACAAAAGTTTGCTGCTCCTCAGACGAACCCAACTCCAGCGCAAGGGAGAAAACAACCACCAAAAGGTCAACAACCACCGGGTACCGTTGCTCCATCCACGCTTGCAGCTCAACCACCTTTCGTGTCCGCAGCCAAGCAACCCAGTACGACGCCTACAGGAAACAATGGCAAAATGGCGCAACTAACGGAGGCCACTGCTAACCTGCAAGTGAGCAACAAACCATTCACCACTACTAATCCCCAGATAATGAACGCTCCAAAGCCACATCAAGGTTCCATGGGTAGTGGTTTGACGGGTCCCACACCTCCACCGCCAACAACACCTACAACCCCATTGGTACCAAAGAACTTTATTCAACTGCCGAATGGATTCAACTACAATCCTTATCAGATCATGGGTTTTCAAAATAAACAAACCAACGAATTTGCGTTAAATGTGCTCAAAAGCCAGCAATTTGATGCAATCCAATCTGCACATCTGGCAACGCAACAGCCAGGAGGACCGCCTGGCGTTGCAATCCCTCCTTCCGCAGCTGTGGTACCACAAGTTTTGGCAGCGACACCTACCAGATCAGTCGCAGTACCAGTTCATCCTACTATGCAACAAACAGCGACGTCTGGCGTGCCGAATTGGAAAGTAGGCGACCGATGTCTTTCTAAATATTGGGAAGATGGTGGTGTAAGTTCCACAGTTGTACCTTTTGTGAAATATTTAATGATTTTTGCTGCTTTCAGTTCTACAATGCTGAAATAACTGCAATCTCTGAAAATACCTTCGTCGTGTGTTTTCTTGAGTATGGTAACTACGAAGAGGTTCTCAAAACTGATTGTATCCCACTGACTCAGGCTACGGCACCGTCACCTGGTCATCCACCGCTGCATGGTCCACCACCTCCTACGACCATGGGCTTCCATCCATCGGCAACCCCTCATATGCCGCCACCGGGTGCTTCTATGATGCCTCACCCACCACCTACCGGTGCTTATCCCGGCCAGGGAATGGATAATCAACTTGGACAACACTATACCCACGGTTATAAGCCACAACCCAGTCAGTATCAACATCACGCACTGTCACACCAACAGCAGCAAAGGCCTTCTAAATTTCGAGAACAACGGCCAATGTACGTTCCACCAGCACAACGGAAATAATCCTTCTTTACCGTGATGGACAAACAAATGAATTCGCAAACACGTTAGACGTGTTTACCAATGTTGTCCACATGGGAGAAACACAGTACACTTTAGGTGCAAAAGATCACCCATCACGTTCGACATCATTGAAGAAATTCTCTCTAGAGGTCTAGTAATTCGCTTTTCGTGTAATTGTTTCATTAACTGCGAATCGTTGTTGTGTCCAAAGAAGTTGTGGCATGGAAATGAATAAAAAGATGAAAGGACAAATTCATATATTACAATATTTTCGTACTGATTTTCTTGTTTCTTTCTATGAGATCGTTAAATTTTTGGATGAAAAGTAGGGAAAATGGTTTATATCGGAACATAATTGGAGAAAAGTGTACGTGATTTTTGGCATGATATGTTTGTGTTATAGATTTCCTTCGGGGCTAGTAAGAATTCGAAAAGAAGGAAACCACATCTGTCACGGTTCTGCTGCACTTGCAGGCAAACCGCAGAAGAAAAAAACTAGACCATAGTGAACGTAAAAACATTTACCAATTACGTTGTATTTAATATATATGAGAATAAATCTTTTGATTGAATATTCTGCATCTGCTATTCCATTCAAATTGAACCATCTACGACGATGATTAGGTAGTTATTGATAAAAGTTTAAGATAGTGTTAATTAACCCTTTTCTTCCCATAATAGATCCATTTAACTTTAGAGTTCTGTTAGTTAAATAATAATGTTGAACTAATTTCATAATACATATAGAGTGGAGATTTGAACTTTTTCATCAAACTGTTGAAAGCTTTTTATATGTCTACATGGCCTATACAATGCAGGATCCCCCGGCGGTTTTCCGGGCTTCGGCAACAGCACAAGCTTATACCTTCCACCTATCAGGGAACTGACCCTCGTCCAAACATTTCTGCAGCACCATCCTGAACATGTCCGGGAACGTCTGGATCGCCGCCTTCAACGCCACGTTGGAAATTCCATCCGGGCCGGGAGCTTTATTCGCTTTCAACCCTTTCGCTGCTGCTATGAGTTCCTCGTTGGAGACTTGTTCAATGTTATCTTCATCTACCTCGCCATATGGTGTAGGTGGGCAGTTCGTTGGGTCATGCTGTGGGAAAAGTCCCTCCACGATGACTTCAGCTTGTTGGGACACATTTCAACCGGCATCGATGGACCTCTGATCTTCGCCATCGCGACTCGGTATGCATTGCCCCATGGGTTGGCATCGGCGTCGCGGCACAGCTCCTTGAAACTATTTGACTTGCTCAGCTTTATCTTTCGTTTCAGTGCAGCCCTGGCCTCTCGGAACACCGCCCTGCACTCCTCTCTGTCTGCTTCTGTTCTTGCTCTCTGAGCACGTCTTCTGGCTAGAATACAAGTAGCACGGAGGGTGCTAATTTCCTCGTTCTACCAGTAAGCTGGACACCGCCTGTTCGTTGGCTCCAGTTTTCTCGGCATAGTTGTGTCAAATGCCCTTGCTAATGATTCGGTCAACTCGCGCTTAGGCCCGGGACGCTGCTGTCTACCCTTAGAGCTTCGATGAAGAGATCCTTATTGAATGCCTTCGTCTTCCACTTCCGCTCGCTTACTTTCGTCCTCCGCATTTCCACCGGTGTCCGTTCGCCGATACTGTACCGGATCGCCTGATGGTCACTATGGGTGTACTCTTCGCACACTCTCCAGTTCATATTTGCCATTAACGACGTACTGCAGAAAGTGACGTCGATAATGGATTCCCTACCATCTTTGCGTGCGGAAGGTGCTGATGGTTCCTAAGTTGGTCAGACTGACGTTCAACTTTGCCAGAGCTTCCAGCAGGCTATACCCTCTTGCGTTGGTACATCTGCTCCTCCAATCCACTGCCCAAGCATTGAAATCTCCTGCGATGACGACTGGTCTCCGTCCAATGAGCCCATCTAGCATCTGGTGGAACTGCTCAATTGTCCATCTCGGGGGTGCGTAGCAACTACATACATATATTCCATTGATTTTGGCGATCACGAAACCTTCGTATGAGCTTTCCACCACTTGTTGAATGGGATACCTGCCCATGACTTGTATGGCCGCCATTTCTGCTCTATCCGCCACCCAGTTACCATTATCGAGAGGGACTCGATATGGCTCTGCAATGATTGCAATGTCACAAGCGAAACAATTTTTTTTTAATTTGTTCATTGCAGAGTTGTAACAGGTTGTATTGGCTATCAAAAGAAACAGCAAACGCACCGAGAAACGTTAAATCTAGTGAGAAAATCGACGAAGAGAATTCGTCGTTGCTTTCAACGTTTGAAGTGTGATGATCCTCGGTTTGATTGTCGGTGTTTCGCTATTGTTCTTCTGCTGAGAACCCGGTGAAAGCCTCGGTGAAAGCAGGAGATGATTGATCCGATGTCGTTGGCTGGTTTTGTTCGATATCCATCGACGGGAAATCAGCGAGACTGAATACCCCCTCGGTTGGTGGAGCTGCTGGAGCGGTGCTATTGTTCGATGTGGCTACATCCAAACATTTCTGTTTGGGATGTGCTGCTCGACCACAATGACGGCACGTTTTTGGTTGCTTGTCGTACGTTACCAACGTTGTTTCGTTGTCGACCGTGATGTATGATAGAATGGCGCTTTCGAGTCGCATTCGCAAAACTCGAACACCGCTCAGGAATCCTGGGAAGTACACGCAGAAAAATGGATTTTTGTTTCAGGGCCTAATGTATTTTGTTATTGATTCAAAAATATTGTATCACTATTTCAACAAAAAATATTTTTGAGTCAACAAAATGGTTTTTGGAATCAACAAACAAACTATTGACTCTACAACCGGTTTGTTGATTAAAAAATATTTTTATTTGAATTAACCGAATAATATATTTGAATCAATACCACAAATATTAGTCCCTGAGCCAAAAATATATCCATTTGAATATAAAAATCATTTATCTCCGTGTAGTGCTTCCATTTCTCATGTCGACTGGAAATCACTGTCCCGTACTTTGCCATGTGGTTCATAACAATGGCTTGTGGCCATGCCAGAGGAAGGTCATGCACTCGAACGGTCACTGCTTCACAATCCACATATACACGGATTTTGAACTCACTCGTCGCACAGAGAAAGGCGTGTTTATATTTGTGCGCCTTTTCATAGCGCAAGGCAACTTCATCTCAATAAAAACACAATTTCGGACGTTATGAAACTGAATGCATCTAACGTCCGAATATTGTAACTTAATATTGTTCTCGAAGAACTTATGCACTTTTCCCGCATTGGGACGAACTGGAAGGACACTGAAGTCAACAACAAGTGTGTTTTTACGAACTACACTCATTTTCACTACAATATTTCACCAAGTTAAGCAGAGCAGAAAGAGCACACGTCCAAAGAATACGAGTAATGGCTGTCCTTCCCGAGGGGGACGACTCTATCTACGATGCAGGAAATATTGTGTTTTGCTGTGGCTAGCTGCGCGTACACTGAGTAGTTAGAAAGAAGATTTATCACGATTTTGAAGATTTCCTGCAAAAAGATGATTCGCAATGCAAGTAGATGCGAGAAATGAAAGAAGATTTTTCGAAGATTTATTCGCTAGTGTGACATTTATTGAGCATCTAAATTTTAGATTTAAATGTGTCGCCCCCCTCGGTCCTTCCCTACATCATGTTTATGAAATGCCTAAGTTTTTTGCCTCAGTGTACGACGTGCCCAGCCCACCGTAGATGTCGGATTTTTGCGGGCGATGGGTTGTTCTAGCAGCTAGTGCAATTCGCAGGTAATTTGGTTGCTCCACGTTCAGTGTTCCATCCAGATTCCACCGTAGATAGTACGCAGCACCATTCGTTCAAACAGACCACTTTGGTCCTCCACGAGCATAGTCCAGGTCTCGTGGCCGTACAGGACTACCGGTCTCATCAGTGTTTTGTCATTTTTGCGCTGCGGCGGACTTTATACGATCGAAGCGTTATTCATAGTCCAAAGTAACCGTGACTACCTGCCACAAAACATCTTTGATTTTATCTGCTGGTGTCATTATCGGCGGTCACCAGTGAGCCAAATATGCATGATGCTTGATAATTGTATATCACTCATTGTAGCACGAAAAAAAAAATCCGATAGCAGGGGGCTCTCTTCACTATTTGATTGTATTAAGCTTAATAACCTCTGAGTGCTCAACATGTCACTGTATGAAGGGCCAAAAACGGATTTGGTGGATCGATATGCCAAGTCACCGGGAAAGTAAAGAATCTCCTTCCGTCAAACAGAAGGATGCCCCAATGAGTGTGGAGAAGAACCCACCCTATATCCACGAAATTTTAACAACAGGGAGCGAATAATTTCACTCTCTCCATCCACATCGCTTCAATTGCTCCCACCCAATGCACAACTTAGGTATGTATAATATATAATTCATTCCTTTATTTAAAGTCGGTTCCTGTTCCGCAATCTAGTTCCAATCACCGAAGGACATCGATTACCATCCATTGACGGCAATCGAATGTGCAGGAAAACAGCTTCCACACCAGCGTAGGATATCGCACCCATTCATCAACACACATGGGTCGGGACCAACGGCTTTACTTCCTTCCGAAGGAAGACGTGACCAGAGATTTTTATGCCACAGAAAAATCCCACCGACCTCGGCTGGAATTGAACCCAGTCCCATTGGGTGAGAAAAAAGTCACGCTTACCACTACAGCACCGGCGCCGGCTGTATAATATATAATCTATCTATCTATCTATATATATAAAAATGAATTTCTGTCTGTCTGACCCTTATAGACTCGGAAACTACTGAACTGATTGGCGTGAAAATTTGTATTCAGGGGTTTGGGGCCGTGGAAGGTTCTTATGATGGTTCGAGACCCCTCCCCCTTCTGTAAGGGGGGGCTCCCATACAAATGAAACAGAAATTTCTGCATAACTCGAGAACTAATCAAGCAAATGGAACCAAATTAGGCATGTGGGGGCGAGTGTGGGGGTATAAGGAGATAGTCATAGGGGTAGCCCCTTAGATAATAGGGGGGGGGGGCTACGTACAATATAGCATGCTTTTTTTTAAATCGGCGCATAAACTCAAGCTAATATTGAATCCCGAGCAAGACCGGGCACACTCAGCTAGTGAATTATAAATAATCAGAGTAACATAATATGGACAGGTCTCACCAAATTCTACTTCAATGGATTCTGCCTCAGGGCATTTAAGTTGCCATCGTCCTCCTTCTCTTGCTCATAGATGCTTATTTTCCAGCCGCTACTGCTCACTGTGTTCCATGCACACATCACTAATTGATTATTATTAAAAGGTCCATTCGAAACACTAATTTTCTTTTGTTTAGTTGTAGTCATTTACAGAAAAAATAGCTGAGATTCTAGACAAAAAATACAGAACCAACAAAAAAACAAAACGAACCGCAACCGAAGAAACCAAACACATGTTACATCGAGTTCGGATTAAGTCGAACTGTAATCGACATATTACACGCGTAAACACTATAGTCGCTATAAAGTCTGGCGGATAGAATTTCGGGAACCAATTGAGCACATCACGATCAAGATCAATAACATAAAAGAGCATATCAGCTTTTACGAACA